TTTTAGAGATAAAACACAAAAATAAAGACGAAAACACAAACTAGGTAAAAAAAAAATGAAAGACATTCTGATTAGAGGCAGTTCTTCATAGATACTAAATCAGGCAAACTTTTTCAGGGACATGAATATAAAAAATATTAAGACATTAGCAATATACATGAAAATATTATACTAGATCGGCCCAAAAATGGCAAACAGACGAAATGAAAATGATAATACTTCAGCATCAACTGCTGCTTAGGAATGATAAAATAAAGAAAAAAAAACGTGAATAAGTTGTCAAATAAATAAATAAATGAGTCACAGCCTGGCAAGAAATTAAAATTCTGGGATAAGTTGAAATAAATAACTATTCTAATAAAGTAAATTTGGATAAGAAGAGTTAAATTTCATATCTCATATTCAAGCTTCAAGGCATAAATGAAAAAAAGGTGGAATTTGTGATAACTAAAATAGATAAAAAAAAAATGTGTAAGATATAAGTCCCAGGGACTCTTCTAGAAGAACAGTCCTAGTTAAGATAGACTTAACTTCCAACGGCTAATTAAGATCGTTAATTAGCCAGTGGGAGTTAAGTGGTGGATCTTGCAAAGAGAAGAAAGCTGGAGGCAGTGGAGATGTCATGTCTGAGGGCAATGTGTAGTGTGATTATAATGCAGAGAATTCGAAGTTTTGAAATTAGGAGAAGGTGTGGGATTACCAAAACTATTATCCAGTGGGCTGAGGAGGGGTTATTGAGGTGGTTATTGAATGACTTCGAGAGTGCAAGTCTGTAGTGGAGGGAAAGTGGGGCAGGGGTCATCCTAGGAAAGGTTGGTGGGAGGGGGTAAAGGAGGTTTTGTGTACGACGGGTTTTGAAATCCAGCAAGCATGAATGAGAGTGTTAGATAGGGGTGAATGGAGACAAATGATTTTTAGGAGTTGATGCACTGTTGGAGTGTGAGCAAGATAACATTTATGAAGGGATTCAGGGAAGCTGGCAGGCCTAACTTGAGTCCTGGAGATGAGAAGTACAGTGTCTTAACTCTGAAGGAGGGATGTTAATGTTGCTGTTAGGATAAAATAAGATTTTCTTCGGATTTTTAACCCTGGAGGGTTAGCCACCCAGGATAACCCAAGAAAGCCAGTGCGTCATCAAGGACTGTCTAACTTATTTCCATTGTGGTCCTTAACCTTGTCCCCCAGGATGCGACCCACACCAGTCGACTAACACCCAAGTACCTACTTGCTGCTAGGTGAACAGGACAACAGATGTAAGGAAACGTGTCGAAATGTTTCCACCTGCCGGGAATCGAACCCAAGCCCTCCGTGTGTGAAGCAGGAGCTATAGCCACCTGGCCACTGTTTTATAACTGTAGTGTAAGCGCGCCTCTGGTAAGACAGTGATGGAGTGAATGATAATGAGTTTTTCTTGTTTGGGCGACCCTGCCTAGGTGGAAGAAGGCCGACCTTGAGTTTTCCCTGAGGTACGTTTATTGTCGTCTCTGAGGATGAGGGTCCCCATTCCAGCTATAGAGGTGGTACTTCCCTATATATATATATATATATATAATATATATATATATATTATATATATATATATATATATGTATATATTATATATATATATATATATTATATAATAATATATATATATATATGTAATATAATTATTATATATATATATATATATATAATTATATATATATATATATATATATATAATATATATATATAATATATATATATATATATATAAATATATTGCTAGTCATGGTAGTATGCCCGGGGTGAGCGCCTCAGCATATTGGCGTGACAAAAATCAAAGGCCTACCATACAGGGATGGGGGTCTTTTTTCTTCAGTGAATTATACCCGGTAGCAGCCGTTAGCATGACGTCATGGCCTGCCGCCACACTCCACAGTGACTCATCAGTGCTCACGTGGTTGCCGTGGTGAGAGGAAGTGTTGCACTTTTGTCTCTCATCCACCCCATCTTTTGTCCTGTGTTTCCTTTTGTTTTGGGGCTATACACGTTTGATTATGGGTAAAAGGAAGACTTTAATACCTGAAACTATAGCTCAAATCATAGGTCTTCACAAAGTTGGGCACCAGACGGAAGAAATAGTGGAGACTGTTGGTGTGTGTGAGCGTTCAGTGAGGAACTGGGTGCAGTGTTTCAAGGCTGGTGGTGGTGTCGAGTTACCGTCTGCCAAACCTCGGCCTGGCCCCTCGAAGAAGACATTTATTCGCACTTTAACTGTGTTAAAGAAGCAGTTAGAGAGTACACCTAGGATAACTGCTAGAAAAATGAAAGAAAAGAACCCACATCTTCTCTCACAGGTGTATGTAAGAACTGTTAACAAACGTGTGTCAGAACTGGGCTACAGTAGTCACTGCCAGGTTAATTAAGAAACCGATCCTATCCATGGGTGGATTATGCAAAGAAATATCTTCACTGGACTCTTCAACAGTGGTCTGAAGTACATTGGAGTGATGAAGCAACCTTCACCGTCACCTGTAACCGTGGGGAACATGTGTACCAGCCCAGAGGTAGTGATCTGCTAGACCCACGCTACACCTGTGGGACCACCAAACACCCAGACTCGCTCATGGTTTGGGGGTGTTTCAGTGCTTAGAGTGTTGGTAAACTTATTGTGCTTCCCAGTATATGAACCAGTATACCTGGAGTTATTGTGTGACAATTTACCTGAGGCGTTTGACAAGTGTGGGGCTACGGTTTTTATGCAGGACGCTGCACTGTGTCATACCGCCAAATCTGTAGTTCAGTGGCTTAAGGACTTTGAAGTGAGGTTCTTTAATGACTGGCCAGGCAATTCCCCAGACCTAAACTTTATTGAGAACCACTGGTCAATAGTGAAACCAAGTTTGCTGGGCAAGGATATCAGTTCCATCCCATGGCTGGAGGCTGCTCTACATGAGGCATGGAATAATATACCTCTGCAAACCCTCAAGAATTTGTGTGAGAGTCTTCCTACATGGCTGCGCGACGTGATTAAGCATAAAGGATGCAGCATCAAGTATTAAAACCTCAGTACACGTGCAAATACAGTGGACCCTTGAATTTCGTGATTAATCCGTTCCAGAGAATTTGCCGAAATTCAAAATTCACAATTTTCAAAGCCACTTTCCCCATAAGAAATAATGTAAATCAAATTAATCCGTTCCAGACACCCAAAAATATTATTTTTTTTTTTACATTAAATGTACATTTATTTACACAGAAAACAACGAGACATGAAGAATAAAACAATAATAACTTGACACTTACCTTTATTGAAGAGTTGTTGATGTGTGGAAGACGGGAGGAGGGGAGAGGATGGAAGAGTTACTATTGTTTGGAAGGGGAATTCCCTTCCATAAAGACTTCATGTACCAAGTCCTTTTCCATGGTTACTTCCCGTCTTTTTTTTTAATGCCTATAGGACCAGCTTGAGAGTCAATGGACCCCTGTCGCTCAAAAAATTGTTCCACAAAGATCTATTTCTGGCGTTTCTTTAAAATTTGCCTAAAATGAGATAAGACATTGTCATTGAACATATCGCATCCTAGTCTACATTGCACACATCTCCTTAATCTCTGAAGAAAGCAACTTCCCCCTCTCTTCCTCCTCGTCTGAAGCAATTTCCTGAGCTGTGGGCTATTGCTGTTGTTAGGTTTTCATTGTGGTCCTCCACCAACTCTTCCACATCCTCGCCACTAACCTCCAACCCCAATGACTTTCCCAATGCCACAACAGATTCCACAACTGGCATAAGGCTGTCAGGGTCAGCCTCAAACCTTTCAAAATCTTTGTCGAGGACACATTCTGGCCACAATTTTCTCCAAGCAGAGTTCATCATCCTGGAAGTCACTCTCTGCCAAGCCTGCCTATAAGGTTTATGCAATGGAGGATATTGAAGAGATCTTTCCAGAACTCTCTTAGGGTCAATTCAGAGCCCGAGGTTATGTTAAAGCACCTTTGAAACATTGCTTTGGTGATGAGTTTTTTGAAGTTTGAAATGATCTGCTGGTCCATGGGCTGGAGGAGAGGTGTGGTATTAGGGGGCAAGAACTTCACTGTGATGAAATTAAACTCCTTCCAAGTCTTGAGGATGAGCAGGAGCAATGTCCATTACCAGGAGGCGTTTCATACGACCTCTGATTTCTCAGCCAATTCACGAAAATCAAGCCAATATTTTGACGAAAAAAGTCGCCGATTTCCAAAATTCACGATATTCAAGGGGGATGAAATTCAAGGGTCCACTGTATATATATTATAATCTTTCATAGTATGTATTTGTGTTTTTGTACGTGTGTCCGGAAGACTCAGATGAGTCAAAGGGATGTTAGGAAATATTTCTTCAGTCATAGAGTAGTCAGGAAGTGGAATAGTCTAGCAAGGAATGTAGTAGAGGCAGGAACTATACATAGGTATAAGACGAGGTATAATAAAGCTCATGGAGTAGGGAGAAAGAGGACCTAGTAGTTCTTCAGTGAAGAGGCAGGACCAGGAGCTCTTGACCCCATGCAACCACAAATAGGTGAGTACAATGACAAATATCAAGTATTGCTTGTTGTAGATCAGATAATTCCTGCAAATCAATGTTATTCAACTCCAGAAACCATACAGGAAAGAAATTCGATAATAAGTTACTCAATAAAGACTGATTTGGAAAGTGAAAAATAATAGATAGAAGGCATTGAAAATGTTATTCAAGGCTGACAGCAAGATAAAGAGGAGGTAGGATAACTACACAAAAGATTATAAAAGTTTTTGACACAGAAGTTAAAGAAGATTCCATAAACACCATCAACAAGGAGACTAAGAAGCCATAAGAGACTAAGAGCCATACTATTAGATGTTTCTTTATGGGCAGTAATACAGACTGTCAGCAAGCGATACAGAAGGAAGTATAGTTTGTACACCAGAATAGGAAACCTTAAGAAATTCTTAGAAACTAGACACATGGTGAAACACGACAAGCATATATTTGTTACCGTAAATACAAACAAACTCACGCTGGATAGTAAATGAGGCAGAGTGTGCCGATGTGACCGTTGGTGAAGGCGAAGAGGAAGAGAATAATGATGTAATAAGCGTCGTTATTGAAGATGGTTGGGAAGGTCTTGTTGGTCCCGTGACACAGCATCAGCAGCGGCAGGAAGATGAGACGAGCTGCTCCAACCACGTGAAGCATCCAACCCTGTGGTCCCGGCTGTAACATACCAGTCATGGAAGAAAGTGTGCTGTTAGATAGTATTTATGAAAGAAAAATCTGCTGTCAAATAAAAATATGTTTATCATAGGAAATCTTTGTTTTTCACTTCCCATAACACTGTGTTAAATTATTCAGGATCCAATGAACATTTTTACAGTTGGCCCTCTTTAAGGAGGTTCCTTATCTTGGTAAAGAGGCTGTTGGTCTGAGGAATTGGACCTTTTGATCTTCTTCCTCAGACCGAATCTAATTACCCCCAACCCCATTTCCCTATCCCATCCACCCCATCCCCCCTTTCCCTTTCCTCCTCTTCTCCCCATCCTTCTCCTATCCCCTTCATGTTTTCACCCTATGGGGGTTCTTCCCTCAGGCACTCTAGTTCCTAGGTTGGGGCAGGGTACCGTGGTCCATTCTGTTCCGTTGAGGTCCTTGGTGGTGGTGTAGTTTGCCGTTGAATGTGCATCAACTGGGGATGTACCTGTTCCTATCCGGTCTCCCGGGGGTGGCCTTGGGTGTCTTTCAGGTGACGGGTGTATCTCTGGAGGCTACCTTTCGAATTCCGGGGGGTGGTGATCGAAGGAGGTATGCTTTGTGGTGGGTATCCGGCTGCCCTCTCTTTTGTTCACCGAGGTGGCTCGGTAGATGTGAGGTTGCTATCCTAGATTGCTGGTTTATTGGTATGAAGGGTAGGGTATGGCATGGGTTTCATGCCACATCTGTACTACTTGCTACGGCCCTTTCCTTCCTCCTAGAAGTTATCCCTTCCGACCTTACCACGCTATTTGAAGATTTTTTTGGACCTTTCTAATGCCTTTGTACCTTCTGCTGGTGCCATTTTTACCCCCGCTCCAAGTGCCGAGGCTCCATATGACTCCTTTGATACATCCGACCTCTGCACTTCTTTGACCATGCTTCCAGCTTCTCCCTCTATGATGCAGAGATTTTTCGATCTCACACCAGTCCCACGTCGGACCAAATCCGATCCCACACCTAAACCCCCAAGACCATTAACTAACGATACTCCTTCGCTTACTTCTCACTCTGCCCAGAAAAGACTGCCACGACACTCACTACCTTTACATGTTATTTTTCAAAATACACAATGGACTTCTACTATCTTTCCTATCATAGTATCAGCAAGGCACTCCTACGCCACGTTGGTCGAGATATATCCTTTCATGCTCTCAAGAGTGGTGCATGCATCGTCAAAGTACAGAATGCTAGCCAAGCTCATGATCTTTCTTCCCTTACAACCATAGATGCTATTCCTGTAACATATGAAAAATGTAATTTTCTCAATTCTTGTAGTAGTACTGTCATTCTACCTCATACTGTTGTCCAACGTAATTTCCAGACATGTGGTGATGATATTCTGGAACAGCTTGAACTTCAAGACCTCCCAATCCTCAAAGTAGGCACTTATGTCCTACCTGCCTGCAGGCAGAGACGCTACCCCTGCAATGTAGCTTGTTTAATTTTTGACTGCCGTGAGCCTCCGTCCTCGAATTATATTGCGGGACACTATTTATAACTTCGAAAGGTGATCCCTACACCGCAACAGTGTAGGAATTGCTGGCGTTTTGGTTATCCAGCAAAGTATTGCAGGTCCATGGCCGAATACCCAATCTGTGTTGCCAACGACCATAGCGATACATCTTGTAGTCTACCTCCCTCTTGCCTTAATAGTAATGAAGCTCACCCATCTTACTCTCGCTGTTTCCAAGTTCACTTAAATGAGTGAGAAATCTGTTGTCTCAAAGAGACAGAATGCTTTCCCTATGCTATGGCAGTTTCTTATCTATGCTTCCACGGGAGACTTCCCCATATTACTTATTCTCGAGTTACTAAACGACCCCCAACCTCTGAGGTCCCAACTTCCACAAACTTCTCTGTGGTCACCCCTTCAACAGTCAACCTTGTCTCTAATTCCTTTGCAGTCCTGGACCCGGAGGTCCCTACCTCGCCACCTCATTCTGTTCTCAGCTCTTCATCCTCTCACTCACAAGTTTCTATGTTTACAAAATCTCGCACAACAACTCCTTCCCTTTGCCTCTCTACTTCTCCGAAGTCCAAAAAATCCCGGTGGTTAAAGGAAATTCACTTATTCTACCTGCACGGTTTTCCTTTCCAGTCTCTGTACCTGGTTCTTCACCTCTAACTGGCTCTCTTGTGAGTGTGGAAGTTCATCCTCCTCCTCGTACAGTACCTTCCTCTCCTGTCTCCTCCCAAGTTTCTTCCTCTTTTGTCCCCTCCCAGGTTGTTCCCTCTCCCATCCCCTCCCACCTACCCCTCCTCTCCAACTACACAACCCCTTTCTTCGCAGCATGCCAACCCTTCACTGCTTGTTCGTTTTCCGCTGCCTCCACATGTGGACTTTTCTAACCCTTCCTAGTCCGTAGATACCTCTACCTTCAGATTTCTTGTATCCGCTTCGCAAATCATGGCTTATTTACAGTGGAATATCCGAGGCCACAGAGGTAACCAGGGTGAGCTTCAGGTGTTGCTCTCCCAGTTTTCCCCTCTCTGTGTTTGTTTACAAGAGCCATCCCATCTCTGGCTATGTTATATTATATTAATAGAATCCTTTATCCGGTGGAATCTTTAATGAAAGTGAGCCTCTTATACGCACACGCCTGCCGTGTCATCCGTGAAGCTAAACGCACTTGCTGACGGGATTATGTCACTTCAGCTTCCTCTATGAGTGCAGTCTGGAAAAGAGCACAGAAACTGAGTGACAAATACTCTCCCGACCCAGCTCCCGTTCTTCAGGTTGCCGGTGTCACTATAGCAAACCCTCCTGACGTTGCCATTGAAATCGGTAATCATCTTGTCGGTATCTCTCGGGGGTTCCGTCTATGCCCCTCGTTTCTTTCCTAAAAGTCTGCCAGAGAGTTTGAGCCCTTAGATTTTTCTTCTAACAGGTAAAAGTCTTATAATGTGCCTTTTACACTTTTGGAATTGGAGTCAACACTCTCCGCTTGCCGATCATCGGCAGCTGGGCCTGACGGGATTCATATTTGTATGCTCCAGAATTTATATCAGTTAACCCTTGCTGTCTTCTTATGCCTATTTAATCTTGTTTGGTCACAAGGAGTTTTTCCCCAGCTTTGGAAATCTGCAATTGTTCTCCCTTTCCGTAAACCAGGTACTACGGGATATGATGCCTCCCACTATCTTCCCATTGCTGTTACCGGTGCAGTTTGCAGGGTGACGGAACGTCTGGTAAACAAAAGTTTGATGTGGTATTTAGAAACCCATAATAGTTTCTCCACTAGTCAATATGGTTTTCGTAAGGGCCCTTCTGTTATTGACCCCTTACTTCGCTTAGATGCTTATGTTCGTAATGCCTTTGCCAATAACCACTCAATTGTCGGCATCTTTTTTGATCTTGAGAAGGCATATGACACAACTTGGAGATATAACATTTTGACTCAGACTCACTCCTTAGGCCTCCGAGGCAATCTGCCATTTTTCCTTAAGAACTTATCTGAGAGACATTTCCGTGTTCGGCTTAATAATATACTTTCCCTAGACTTTGTCCAAGCTGAAGGTGTACCACAGGGATGTTTCCTTAGCACCACGCTTTTTCTCCTTGCTATAAATGATCTGACAACTATTCTTCCATCCAATATTTGGTTATCACTCTATGTTGATGACTTTGCTATAGCTTGTGCAGGCGCTGACTGTCGCCTCATTGCAGTTTCTCTCCAGCATGAGGTCAACCGCATCTCCAATTAGAGCACTTCTCATGAGTTTAAATGTTTTAGTACTAAAACACACCAAATTACTTCCACTAGACGTATGTATGCATATATATATATATATATATATATATATATATATATATATATATATATATATATATATATATATATATATATATATATATATCATATCTTAGGAATCATATTTTCTTCTTCCTGGCTTTTGATGAATTGTTCAGAATTATATTTGTTGCTGTGCTTTTTTTTTTAATTCTTGTCTATCATTGTTTATATTACTCTCAGTGTACTGGTGTGTGTGCGGGAGGTGGAGAGAGAGAGATAGAGAGAGAGAGAGAGAGAGAGAGAGAGAGAGAGAGAGAGAGAGAGAGAGAGAGAGAGAGAGAGAGAGAGAGAGAGAGAGGCAGGCACCTTACATGCCCTACACACCCACCACCTCAAGCTGACCACATCATCATGAGGAGCCAGTCTATCAGCATCCTGTCGGCCAACATTAGAGGTTTCATTACTAATGTTGGAGAGCTCACACACAGTTTTGTGAACACTCGACGTTCCGACATGATAGCTGTTGTTGAAACATTTTTGGATGACAGGACTCCAGAAAATTTTGCAAGAATTGCTGGCTACACCTTATAGACAAGAAGAGACAGGCAAGGGCAAGGAGGAGGTGTTGCTGTGTGCTTCTCTAAAAGTGTTCATGCCCAGCACATTGATGTTGCCACCCCTACACATCTTGAAATGATGTTCTTCAAGCTCTGCATAAACACTAGTACCTCTGTACTAGCATGTGCAATGTACAGACCTCAGTGGCAACATGCAGACCCCATCAACTTCCTAATGGAAAATATTGACTCCCTTCTACTACAACACAACTGTCAACATATCATAATTGTTGGTGACCTCAACCAGCATCTTATACAAAAGGACTTTGATGACCTTCTTGTAGTGTTTGACCTGAGAAACTTTGTTGATTTCCCTACTCACATCTCTGGCTCCTCCCTTGACCCAGTAGTGAGTGATCTGGCAGAAGGCATAGTCACTTGTCAACCCCTCGGCTATGTTGGATCGTCTGACCACAAGGCTGTTTTTACGACACTTAAGATCCCAACAGAACGAGGTGAGGAGTCCACACGCACAACCTGGCTATGGGGAAGAGGTAATTGGCCAGCCCTTTGCTCTGAGCTCGCCACCACCGAATGGAATGCTCTTCTCCAAGGGGATGTTGACAACCAAGTGAAAGCTTTCACTGGACACATCCTTAATCTACAACAAGAA